TAAACCTCGAATTTTTCTTGATAAAAAAACAACCAATTTTTCCACCATTTAATACTTGAAAAAGCTGAATAAAGCTGTTTACAGTCTGCAAAACAGATCACATGCCGAAAAAAACAAAAAAAATGATCAAAAAAATGACAAATTTGAAAAAATCCGTGAAGAACACTGTGCAACCCGTGTTCTTCACGGACTCGCCGATTCCGCACAGTGAATCGGCGAGTCACTGTGCGGAATCGTCCGATTCTCTCTAGAACCGGACGATTCCCGGTTTTTGAACCGATCCGGTACCTTTTTCGTGAATTTCGAGTCGAACCGGGCGAGTCCGGTTCAACTCGGCGATTTTTTAAAAGCTGCTTTTTATGCAATTTACCTCACTTTATTTTCTTTTTTCACTTTTTTTTAAAAATAGTACTTTCTATTCAAATACCTCCAACCAAATGAAAAATGAAAAAAATGCTTAAATCACTCTTTTTTACTTTTACCATACCCACGCCTCTTTCTCCTTTGTGTAAGTGTGCTTCGGCATTGTACAAGTGCGCTCTGGCAGTATAACACTCTGGAGTCACAAAGCTTTGGCACTGTCTATGTACGCTCCCGTACTATCTATGTGTGCCCCCGCACTATCTATGTGTGCTCCAGCAGTGGGATCTGGAGTCACAGTGCTCCGCCACTTATATAAGTGCGCTTCGACACTGTGTAAGTGCGCTCCGGCAGTGCAACAGTCTGGAGTCACAGCACTCTGGCACTGTCTATGTGCTCTCCGATAGTGAATCATGTGCTCTGGCACTTTGTAAGTGCACTCCGACAGTGTAATCTGAAGTCACAACGCTCCAGGAACTGTGTATGTGCGATCCGGCAGTGGATCATGCGCTCTAGCATTGTGGTAATTTGCTCCTATAATGAGCTTCGAAAGTCAACATCAAATCTGGCCAAATTAATATCTGTATATGGGAAGAGCATTCCGTCTAAAAAACTGAACTTTTTCTCTTGGGGGTATTTGTATAGAAAGTGTGTTTTTTTTAAAAAAAGTGATAGAAAAACTTAAATTGAGGATAAATTGTATAGAAAGTATGGTCTTTTGGATTTTTTTTTATAAATTTTTCAAAAAAAAAAAAAACATAGAAACGTTAACGGACCAACCAAAAAGCTCCGGAGTATACACGTGGCATGACGTGCTTTACTTCCGGACCGTGTAAGAAAGGAAAAGGAGGAGGGGCAGATGAGAACGAGAGCTCCGGCATTTGACTTGGACCACGAGAGGCAGACCATTGTTTAATTATTATTTGTATTTATAGTTGGATCCCCGACTCCTTTTGCAATGCTTGGTACTTAATAAAAAGTTATTTACGTCGGGGATTTAAATTTTTTTCTAACATATAATTAATCTTTTTATTTTTAGTTTTTTTTTATAATAGGGCTGTGCACGGAGTTTTAAGACAATGCCTTACTAAAGAAAAAACTAAAAAAATAAAATAAAATTCAATCTGAGAATGTCTTTGGAATGAAAGGCAATTTAAAAAAAAAAAAAGTTCAATTTAAGAAAAAGAAAAAAAAAAAAGAGAGCAGGTTGACCAACTTTGGAGCATTTTGTATTTTAAAAAAAATTTATAGGGTCGGCACATAAATCACTTTTAAAATAAATTTACGATATGGCAGCATTTAATGTGAACTTAGAAACAAATCAGCCATGTGAATGCGGAGAAGATAAATACTTACGAAAAACCAATGCTAACAATGCAAACGTATAGATACTAAAACCACTGTCTAAATATAATCCCAAATAAAATGCACATGGACTAACTCCAAGTCAAAAATAGAAGGAAAAGGTCGTCTAACCCCCACCTCACCTTTCCTATTGTTCAAACTATGATTCTTATTTTTTTATTTTTTCTATGACGACGTCGTCCTAATCCTAGAAAAGCTCTCCTACTTTCTCTCTCATTGTCACCCCTTTACTCCTCTCTAACGTAGCCATCCTTCATGTCCTTTCTTTCTCTCTCTCTCACCGGGTGAAAGTCATGAAGTAATTAAAGAGAGACATACAAAGGGATCTTAAAATTTTAGATAAAATACAAAGTGCTTTATTTATAGTAAAAAATTACAAAGAGCGATTGACAACTTATTTTTTTATTTTTTCAAAACTGCTTCTCGATCAACTTGAATTTTGATTTTTTTTTAGATTTTTTTTTTTAAAATTTCTTTTTCACTAGTAGAGTAGTACCCCAAGGGTTATGGCACTGCCCCATGCTTTAAGGCATTGCTCTACTAATGAAAAAAGCTAAAAATAATAAAAATCTAGATTGATATAGGAAAGTTTTAGAAAAAAAAAAAAGAAAAAAAGAAGAGTTGACTGGCTTTTTTTGTAATTTCTGCATATAAATACAACATGCAGTATTTTATCTAAAATTTTAAGGTCCGTATATAAATCGCTCTTCATTAAAAGAGGCATTCCAACTCCATTTATGTTACGGGGTATTTACAGAAAAAAAGAAAAGAAAAAAAGAAGCATATGCTGCAATTTAGATAATGAAAAAGGCCTAGAGAGGGTTAATGCCATTTTATGTTAATTTAAAGGGGTTGTCCATGGCTTCAAAGAGCTTGCTTGGGATTAGTGATTGGTATATATAAAATAACACACCTCCCTAAAAATTAATACATGAAAAAATTTTGTACCAGAATATGACCCTAGAGAAATATATTGAGATGCCTAAAATCCCACCATAAAAGTTTTAGGCATGGGCGCTCTCATCCCTCTCCCTTCGGTCCCTTGAAGACCCTAAATTTATTTTATGTATATTATAAATTACATACGGGGTCAGGTTGGGTGGAGTTGACACGACCTCGGGTCAGGACATAACCTCTATCAGGTGCAAGTCATTTGCATCTGACCCGCCACATCTAAAATATGGACCCTAGCGAGAGGTCGGACCCGGTTTGCGTGGCCCCGGTACGGATAAAAAAGTCAAGAAGGCATCGGACGAGGTTACGGCGAAGACATCAATTTTGTCACTTCCGCAAAAAATGTCGTAGATTTCGCAACTGACGTGTACTAAGCAGCCTTCACTCATAGATAAATTGGTAAACGAACGGTGATCGTGCGAGGCTACCCTGAACATATGTAACCCTGCCAAGAGTATAGTTAGCAGGGAACAACATATATGCGGTCATCTTACTAGGCTTATAGGCCAGCCCATCCTCCTCTATTGGCCCCAAAATCCTAAATAGACCTTAGAATTTTGGGTGAGGTTTACAAGAGGTGCCCAACTTATACCGGACAAGTAAGGCACACCTGTCAGAAGATGTAGTTCACGTGTAAGAAACTTTACCCTAACTTATATTGGACAAGTAAAGCACACCTCTAAATTTTGTTAGAAGATGTAGTTCACGTGTAAAAAACTTTACGACAGCTTGAAATCTACGTTCGAACTTAAATATGGAATGAGTAATTTACATGCGGATCTTAAAATTTTAGGTAAAATACGAAATGCTTTGTATGCAGAAATTACAAAGAAAGTTGTTCAACCTATTTTTTTTTTTTACTAAAATTTTCGATGAGGTAAAATCTGAATTTTGGTTTTTTTTTTAGTGTTTTTAGTTTGTAATTAGTAGGCAATGCCCCAAGTTTCAAGGCACTGCCTTAATAATGAAAATAATAATAATAGTAATAATAAAAAACAAAATTCGGGTTGACTGAAGGGCAATTTTGAAAAATAAAAAAAATGGGTTGACTGATATTCTTTGTAATTTTCATCTATAAGTGGAACATTTTGTATTTTACCTAGAATTTTAGGATTCGTACTTAAATCACTCTTATGGAATTTAAAATCTCAAAAATATTATGGATCAAGCAGGTCTATAAACACTTGAAAATCTTAAAATAGACAATCTAGATGACTTCTTAAACGATGACCCAATTTAAGACTTGAATTTTTTTTTATTTTTTTTAATATCCATACATTTTGAGATCGAATTGTTCAATTGGAAGATTT